CCTCCCGTAGCTCTTCCCATACACACAGCAGTAATGCGGCCTGCTCAGGTGTTCAGTAATGCAGCCTGCTCAGGTGTTCAGTAATGCAGCCTGCTCAGGTGTTCAGTAATGCAGCCTGCTCAGGTGTTCAGTAATGCAGCCTGCCCAGGTGTTCTGTCTAGCCAGTATGTGAGCTGGTCCTAGTAGTGGCACAAAATTGCAAGGAACTGTCTCATCATCTGTTCGGGGCTGCGTGAAGGGGATGGAAGGGAGGGAGGAAAACAGTACCCTTCCACCAAGCTACAGGCGAGACCCCACTTATGCAGGTGTTGCGTTCCCAGGTACCGCATGTGTGAGAGAAGTTGCGCGTATTGGGAACACCATCCAAAAAGCCTGTAAACACCCTCCAAACCTCAGGAAACCCTTTTTAAAAAAACAGCAGCACTAACGAGGCACCCTCCAAACCTCCTTTCCAAACCGTCGACTCTCCACAGGCCTCAAAGGTCGGTGCAAAAGCTCCTGGGTTCATGCCTTTTTTGCCGTTTCCACACTGCTTTTGCCCTTTTTGCTCCACTTTTGGGTTTGAATCAAATTGTTTAATTGTTTCACAACACCTTGCGGTGGGTCGATCACGCACAAGTGGGGAGTTGTCCATATACTAGGCCAGTATGAATGAAAGCCACTGATGCCGGGGAATCCCATCTTGCGTGGACATCTAAGAAGAGGAGGAATTCTACACATCTGAGAATCAAAGCAGAATCCCGCAGTGGGGCCGGGTTCTGCAGGAAGCCCAGATTACAAACAATTTAGCTGCGCCGGGTAATCCCCCTTCGTTTTAAATCTGCCACGCAGGATGTTGAAAAGGCAAAAACCCAAATGGCAGCAGCAAAAAAATTTTAGGATTAGGAGCTTTCCTGCGCACGGCTGTGTATGTGTTAATATTTTAAGCTGACTTCTAAAACCGGTAAACAATTGCGCTGCTTCCAGTGGTGGGTGGTGCTGAGTGACCTCTTTAACATGCCTGATTATCCTGTCAACATTTATAATGCCTTTGATATTTCTCTCTCGTCGGGACGCGATCAGTTAAGCAGTCGCGTTTCGCCCGCACTCAGCTTGCCTTCCTCCTCTTCCTGGCATTCCCATCCCCTGGTTATATAAATTGACATTAATTTCTGTAGATCTTAGCAGTGAGAGATTGTTAATTTATTCATGGTTGGAGGAGATCTGGGAAGGGAGGGGAAGGAGAGTTCTCCAGGACGAAAGAGGCGGTGGAAAGAAACATCTCGTACGGCACGGAACACCGATCGTCTGTGCCCGCTTGTTTTGCACAGAGTAATGAATGCTCCATTCCTGATTAACAATTTTGACCTATTTAAAGCTGCACTGTGTCATCGTCATCCCCGCCGCCCCCCCACCACCATCTTACGTTGCTTCTCAGACAATGTGAGCCACACATTACATTTTAAGGGCTCATCAGCTGCAGTATTTGTCTAACAGATATCACTATCGCGTGCCAGCAACTGGAAGAGAAGCCACAATGAGAGATTTCTTAGGCAGAGGTTACGGAAATGAATCTTTTGTGCCTGCCATTTAAATTTGCGGGTGTGCGCCATGTTAATTTAATCTAATACAACAAGGGAACGCCGCTGTGGTTCCAGCGCAGGCCCTTAATTGATCAAATCAAACCAACGTCCTTATTCCTTTCTTGACAGCAGGTTTTGTTTTGGACGCAAGTCTTTAAATCATATATATTAATTAACATGCTGGCAAGCTGGTTCAGTGTGCTGGCGTTACAGTGGATTCAATGCATCCGTCCTCTACACATGGGAGTGGGAACCTTCAGCCCTCCCAATGTCGTTGGACCACAACTCCCATCATCCTTGATTATTGGCCCCACTGGCTAGGGCCGATGGGAATTAGGGTCCAACAACATCTCAAAGGCCACAGGTCCCTACACAAACACTTCTTGCAGGAGCTCCCAGACATTGATCCCCATGCTAAGGAATAACCAGGTACCCATTTAATTTTACTTTAAAACAAAATTATCTTTCTGCTCAAGACAAAGGGAATATCTAGTTTGGAGGGGTGGGGGACCTGTGGCCTTCCATATGTTGTGGGAGGACCCCCAAGTGCCGTCTTCCCCAGCTAGCATAGCCAATAGTCAGGGAGGACAGGAGCTGTAATTCTCATTAATGATAATAACCCCCATGAGACTGTTTCAGCTAAGTCACAGGTGCGGTCCATGCACCTGAAGCCGTGTATGATGTTAGGTTTGGACAGGTAAAGGCCGAGCCTGAACAAAAGGGGCTTTGCACGCACCACCCATCAGCTGGTCAGTGGTTTCTGCAAGACCCTTTTTGCCCAGTGCTTCCCAAGCTCTGTCCATCAGCCAAGGCCGGCACAGCCATTAGACAGGGGTGGCATAAGCCCCCAAGTTGCAGACGTCCTACCTGCCCTAACGCCTCCACCACTGGCAGAGAAGGGACTCTAACACCAGTGCCGATTTCTTGCAGAGTGTGCGATACTTTGCCCCAAATCTGTAAGCTCTCACCCTGAATGGATGAGATCTTGCCTGAAACTGGGAACAGATGCTGGCAGTGGAAGTGGCAGGGTGGATGGCACTTCCCATTTTGCTTCTGGCAGCGAAACCAGAGACACCACCCTTGCTATCAGCTGATTGCCAGTTTGGGAAGAACTGTGGACAAAGCTTCCCAAACGCCAACAATCAGCTGACAGTCAGTACTTGGGTATGATTGCTTGCACTCGTATTCTAGGAGAAAATGGAGTATAGAAGATTCGCAAAATTATGTCAGAGTAGAGCCTAGATCAAGGATTGGAAAGCTGTGGTACCTCCCCTAGAGAGCCACTGCCAACCAATATAGACGGAGTCAGGGCTGGTTGGACCATTGAACTAACTTAGTGCAAGGCCATTTCATATGATAAGTTGATAAAAGTCATTTGAGTGGTGCAGATGAAAGATAGAAGATCACAAGGAGGGATGGAGCCAGCTCCAGGTACGAAGTGGTGTGTGCACGTGGGGGAGGGATGATATTAATCTTCGTTATCACTATACTCTCTCCCAGTGCCAAGCCATTGAATTGTTTTGCATACCCTAGATAACTTAAAGAACAGCTTGGGTCGAGATACAGTAGTGAAAAGAGAAGTGGCGTGATTGCAGTCTTGGGAATTGCGGTCGATTTAGGCATTTATTTTCACTTAACTCCAAGAGCTCCTGGGATTTTGAAGAGCTGCTGGTTTATTTATTTTTAAAGTAAATTAATGAAATAAAGACTGAGAAGAGCAAAATGTGCTGGCAGGGTATGGCTTTTGTTGCCTGGAGACTTCCTTGCTTCACAAGAAGAATGTGGGACTTGGAGAGTGATTTTGGTTTAGCAGAAGGGAGTGCAAAGATAACCGAGAAAAGAAGCAAATGTAGTTTACCAGGTTTACTGGAAAGAAAGCATGCAGTGGAAGGAATCAACAAAGCCTGTGCATTACCTCATTCTCCTTACAGTTTGAATTTTACCAAGTTAGGTAACCAAGAGTCTCTGATCACTGATATCACCACACTGTTATCTTTGGTTGTATTTCAGGTGCACCTGAAATATATTACAGCAAGTCTGGGCAACCTGGGGCCCTCCAGATATTGCTGGACTCCAACTCCCATCAGCCCCAGCCAGCACAATCCATGTTCAGGGATGATACAAGTTGTAGTCCAGCAAATCTGTAGGGTCCCCAGTTCCCCTTCCCTGAATTAGAGATAGATTTTGTTCAGAGCTGGACCTACAGACTCAAGGTGACTTAAAAATCTAGCTCAGCTGTGGTCTTACCCATTTAATCCTGAAGAAGTCTTATAATTCACATCACACTGGAAAGTTGGCAAAAATGAGAGTCACTTTCACAATGTTATAAGCAGAAGAAATAAATATAGGTTTGGGAATGCTGAAGTGGTATAAAATGGTATGATCTAGTCACAGTCAGGCACTCCTGGGTTTCAATGAGCAGGACAAGGAAACCTGCAGACTTCCTGTCGTTGCTAGACTCCCAGCTCCCATAGTCCTGGCCAGAATGGTCAGGGATGATGGGAGTTGTGGTCCGGCGGCGTTGTGGAATGCTCATGAACATCTTAACTGATCAGGAGTTGAACTGTCAAACATAAATGGGACAGAAGGGATTGCGAGCTGTTGGTGGGAAGAAGCATAGAATTCGTGCTCAGCTGGTAGGATGAATATATGGCTTAGAAGATGCATTTGCATAGGTTTCAAATTACGGTCTTCAAATAAAAACATCTTGGAGATCCCAAGCCACAGGGAGGTTAAGCTGGCCTCAACCAGAGCCAGGGCTTTTTCAGCTGTGGCCCCGATCTGGTGGAACACTCTGTCACAAGAGACCAGGGCCCTGCGTGACTTGACATCTTTCCGCAGGGCCTGCAAGACAGAGCTGTTCCACCAGGCCTTTGGCTAAGGCACAGTCCTTTGGTAATCCTCATAGAACTCTAGCCCAATGGTTGCCATTAATTTGATTTTGAATTGATTTTAGAATTAGTTGATTTTAGAATGCATTTCAATTAATTGATTGTGATTTCATGTAAATTGTGTTACTTTTATTGTTGGTAGCCGCTCTGAGCCCGGCTTCGGCTGGGGAGGGCGGGATATAAATAAAATATGATGATGATGACGACGACGACGATGATGATGATGATTACAGACCAGGTATTTAGAAACCTGGCTGCATGGGCCTCCAATGGATTTCCAGACATGTGAGAAAAACATTGCAATATAAGATCCTTACAGGTGCCTTGATAGTTTGCGAGGAGTCAGTAAGACCGCAGACAAGATAATATTTCACTGTTAGGTATTTCTAACACAAGATACTGCTGTAATGTCTAAAGTGGGCAGACATTCATGAATTAAACTTCGCCACTGATGTTGTAAGCACCATGTTAGAAGCCAACACGTTGGTTTCATTAATTATAGTGATGTTTTTGAATGCCTAATAAAGAGTCTCCTTGTTCCTTCCAGCTCCAAGGTTCCTTGAAGAGAAAACTGGTGGTGAATCTGTCGCCGGCCATTAACAAGAGGTCCAATGGCATTGCCGACTGCACCTTCCTTGATATTAAGAGGATCCGAGTGGGCGATAATAACCTTTCCGTGGGGCAAGGTGGACACTGTGGCAACAATTGCCCCAACCAGCCGGTGTTGGGAACCTTGACGGCTGAACAAGGCGCTCAGAGGAAAGTCAGCAGCCCAACCGGCAACACCCACTCGAACGCAAACGGGATGTTCAACATGACTCTAAAGGAAGTCAAGAAAGAGCCCGGTGAAACCAGCTCTTGCAGTAAGCACCTGGATGGGCTGGGCTCCCAGGGCAATCCTTTTCCCATGCGATACGGAGAAGACGCAGGGGAACAGTTGATGGACCCGGAACTTCAGGAGCTGTTCAATGAGCTGACAAATATTTCGGTGCCGCCCATGAGCGACCTTGAGCTGGAAAACATGATCAACGCCACCATCAATAAAGACGAGCCCTTTAGCATCGACCTCGGGCAGCAGGTCCAGAGAGCGCCCTCGGCCAGGTCTTCCTCCTTGCAGATGGACAAGATGGTGATCAAGCAAGAGTACTCGCCAGGTCTGAACCAGGCTTCCGTGGGGTCTCCCCAGATGAGGCCTTCTTCCACGGGCCCAGCTTACACGATGTCCGGGGCCGCTATGTCCGCCTCATCGCCGATTCCTTCAGCACCTCAGACTCAGACTCCTCCATCTCAAGGGTCTTCAGTTCCCAACCGGCCCTTGGCCAGCTGGCAGGAGGTCTCCCACGCCCAACAGTTGAAGCAGATCGCGGCCAACCGACAGCAACATGCCCTTATTCAGCAGTGCCAGCAAAGCCAGCCGCCGTCCCCCTGGCCCGCTTTGACGTCTGCCGAGCCTTCTCCCGGGTCCTTCAGCCAGGAGAAGATCTCCAGCACTCCTTTCCACCAGCAGCAGTTCAGCCCTCAAAGCTCCGGAATCCCTGGGAATGGGAACCAGCCGAAAGGGATAAATAACTACCTTTACCGGCCAAGCGCCATGCCCCAGGGCAATCCCATGAACATGATGATGCAGCGAAAGCCTCAGGACCTCAACAGGGGTTATATAAGCAGCGGCCAGATGTCTCTGGAGGAGCCTCAGAACAACATCAAGCCTTTGTTTCATTTCAACTCGGAGCAAGCCAGCCAGCAGATGCCTTCCGTTTTGGGTTCCCAAAACAAGCCTTCCATTCTGCACTATGCACAGCAGCAGCAGCAGCCTAACTCTGCCTCGGTGCAACAACAGAACCAGCAGCAGCAGACACGGCCACCCCAGCCTCTCCCAAGCCAGCCTCTGCAGAGGCCACCGAACATACCCTTAGCTTTGCAGCAGAAGATCCTGCTGCAGAAAATGCTGCAAGGCCAGCCGGTTTCGGGGCTTCAGTATCCTGTCCCGCCTCAGCACCAGCTGGTAAGCTTGCTTCTTTCAACAGGATGGTTCAGTGATTTGTGAAAATTACCGTATTTTTCACTCTATAAGACGCACCAGACCACAAGACGCACCTAGTTTTTGGAGGAGGAAAACAAGAAAAAAAATATTCTGAATCTCAGAAGCCAGAACAACAAGAGGGATCGCTGCGCAGCGAAAGTAGCAATCCCTCTTGCTGTTCTGGCTTCTGGGATAGCTGCGCAGCCTGCATTCGCTCCATAAGACGCACACACATTTCCCCTTACTGTTTGGGAGGGGGGAAATGAGTCGTATAGAGCAAAAAATACGGTAGTAGGGTTGGGAGGGGAAGGGCTTTCTACAATCCTAGGAGCATACAGGAGATGCAGGGGCCTTTTAGCAGGCCACCTAGTTCAGTATAGGGGGCCCTATGGAAGTTGTCAACCTACAGTTCCCATAAGCCCCAGCAAACGTGGCCAAAGAACAGGGGTGATGGGAGTTGGAGTTTGGCAACATATGGAGGGCCAGAGGGTCCCCACACTGGATGTAGCCTAACCCCTCCACTCCTGCTCGACGCAGGAAATCCTGAGTTAAGAGCGCCCCCCCCAACAGAGGGCCTATAAGCCATTTGCTTGAAGATCTTCAGCAAGGGAGAGCACACTGTCCTTCAAGGTACAGTGGTACCTCAGGTTACAAACACTTCAGGTTACAGACTCCGCTAACCCGGAAGTAGTACCTCAGGTTAAGAACTTTACCTCAGGATGAGAACAGAAATCGCATGGCGGTGGCACAGCAGCAGCGGGAGGCCCCATTAGCTAAAGTGGTACCTCAGGTTAAGAATGGTTTCAGGTTAAGAACGGACCTCCAGAACGAATTAAGTTCATAACCAGAGGTACCACTGTAATCGGTTCCACTGTTGGACCGCTCTGACCAGCAAGATATTTCTCCTACCATTCAACAGAAAGCACCCACGTTGCGTTGCCATCTGAATTGTATAGCTCCCAGTGTGTGTGTTTGTGTGTGTGTGCCAGGGGCAAGGCTGGTGTAATCCAGATGGTGGCACCAGCAAGTACAGGTGTTTCACTGAGGCTGGGCCATTCCCTAAGGCTTCATCACCACTCAAATGAGTCACACATCAGCTGCGGAGATGGGGGCAGCTGCACCAGTGGTTCCCTGCTGGGACCAAAGGGCCCTAGAATTTGCCTGAGGATCCTGTGTCCTGCACTGAGATATTGCTGGGAGCTTGAATGCATCTGTAGCAGACAAAATTAGGAGAAATTGCTGATAGCTCCCAGTACATTTCTAAGCACAATTCAAAGTGTTGGTGCTGACCTTGAAAGCCCTAAATGGCCTTGGCCCAGTATACCTGAAGGAGTGTCTCCACCCCCATTGTTCAGCCTAGACACTGAGGTCCAGCACCGAGGGCCTTCTGGTGGTTCCCTCACTGTGAGAAGTGAGGTTACAGGGAACCTGGCAGAGGGCCTTCTCGGTAGTGGCACCCACCCTGTGGAATGCCCCCCCAACAGACATCAAGGAAATAAACAACTGTCTGACTTTTTTCTAAGACATGTGAAGGCAGCCCTGTTTAGGAAAGTTTTTAATGTTTGATGTTTTATTATGTTTTTAATACTCTGCTGGGAGCTGCCCAGAGTGGCTGGGGAAACCCAGCCAGATGGGCGGGGTATAAACAAATGATGATGATGATGATGATGATGATGATGATGATGATGACTTAAAAAAAAACAGCCTCAAACTTACATGGAGAAATGAACAAAGGGTTGAAAAAATGAGATACTGAGAGAAACTAAGTTGGGCAGATTCGCCACTCAGTGGTTGAGCATCTGTTTTGCATGCAAAAGGTCCCAGATTCAAACTCTGACATCTGTAGGGCTGGGAATGTCACGTGTTTGACACTGCCAGTCAGTGTTGACAGCCTTAAGTTAGACGCACCAGCAGTATGACTCCGTATAAGGCGTTTCCTTAGGTTCCTAAATATGGTGAGGCCGGTAGCAAAATGATAGCCGCACAAACATAAGAACATAGGAGTCCAGAGGGAACTGACCAAGGGCCTATATAGTCCAGTACTTTATTCCCACAGTGACCGATCAGACGCCTGTGGGTTTGTGTCAGGTTTGTTTGGGTTTTTTCCCTTGAGCTCAGAATTTTCAGACATGTAAACAGAGAGGTGGCACAAGGCGAGGACTGTCTCCTGGCTGCTGGTGCCTCAATGGTTTTTAACTGTGCATTCAGAAATGTTCCTCTGTGCTCTGAGGGTGATGTTGCATTTGGTGGGATGTGCGAAATGTCTGCACAAACTCAGTCTAACATCTTCCTGTCAATCTCAGCTTTCTGACAGGGTTGTAATGTATTTATATCAGTCAATAACTAGTAGAGAAGGTAGGAAGAAAACAGAGCACATAAAACACTCAGGAGTTCCCACTCAGTCACAATAACAAACCATTGTCTGACATTATATGAATAAGCCTCAGGTTTATATGCTGCTCCTCCCTCCCTCCCTTGTTCTCATATGTTCATGGTTTGTATCAAACCACAGTTTCCTGTTTAATCCGAATAGAGGAAACTGTGGCTTGTACAAACCGTATTTTACTAACAAACTAGGATACCAAACCACAGTCTAATCTTGGTTCATTTCCTGGTTTGTTAACTGTCTTTTGTACAAACCACAGTTTCCTATATTCAGGAAAAAATCAGGAAATTGCAGTTTGCCACAAACCACGGAAAGATGTTTTTAATCTCCACCCCCTCAATTGTAAAGGAGGATGGTAGGGTATGGGCCAGCGTGCAGGTTCAATGCTCATCTTTGCTTGTGCACATAGTAGCAAATACATAACCATGGGTTGCCATTACGTCTGAGCCGAGTCAGTATCCGTTCAGCAGAAGGAGGTTGTTCGTGACAAACTTGTTCGCTAACAGGCATCTGAAACATTGTGGCAGAAGATTATTTCTCAGCCACCAGTGCTTACTAAGCAGAGTGTTTTCTTAATAAGCATTGCTACAGAGGCTGAATTGAGGCCACCGTTATTTAAAAAGCAGGGAAACGTAAGCACACAGGTCTCGAAAATCAGTTGTAGCTCTCCTGTCAAAGAAGGGTGCTGCAATTGGAACTCTTCCTAAATGTATACATTGTTTTTATCCACAGCTGATAACCCTCTGTAATTTTCTGGCTCTAAAGTCTCGAAAAAGCACTTTGAGACATGTCTTTATCAAGCTAAAGCTTGCTAAGTGAAAGCACAAGGCTTATTTCTCTGCCTGTCACTAGCGCTTTGTGTCAGGCCACGGGTGGGGGAGGAAAGGGTTTTCTAACTTCATGGCTTCTGCCTTTAGGGACTGAGCATACGATTGAAAGAGAAGTGCTTGGTTTCTCGAGAAACAGGGAAATGAAGGCAGTAGTTTGTGCCACCGTGCAGGATTCCCAACCACCCACAACCTTGCTTCTTCTGTGTTGCTTTGCAGGAGAGACTTTCCACATGTTTTTTCTTCCTTTCTCAAATTTCTACATTCTCTGTGATCTTCCACATTCCCCTTGAATATCAATTTAGGTGAGATTTGGTAGCATTGTACATGCATGAGTGTGCAGCTGTGCGCACACACACATTCATACATGCACATGAAATTTCAGTCATCTTATCCCTGCTCCCCTTTCCAAAGTGACTGAAGTCGGGGTGGGAAGGGGAGAGAGATTAAGACCACATATTTTTAAAAAATGTGTGTGGTATCTTACAATAACATACAAATCACGTGTTCAAGCACCTTTAGAAACTTGCTTGAGAACGATCTTGACCTCTGAGGCAAACAAACACACCCCTACCCTATGCTATTGACTGGGCTTCTCTGATGTCGCAGTGAGCTATGGGAGAGTGACCCACAACCCATTGGCCTTATCAAATGTTTATTATGGGAAGGAAGCAGCGTAGCGGTGATCCTTTAAAAATATGCATTGCGAAAAGTGCAATTGCATGCGTAGAATTCCTTGCAGAGAGGGAGACTTACACATGTGCAGAACAATTGGTTTTTAGTTCAGGTCAATTGTACAGTCATACCTCGGGATGAATACGCTTCAGCTTAAATATTTTCGGGTTGCGCTCCGCGGCGACCCGGAAGTAACGGAGCGTGTTACTTCTGGGTTTCGCCTCTCGCGCATGCGCAGACACTCAATGTAGTAACGTTCCACTCGCCCACACTACCCTTCCATCACCCGACTCTGCTCTCCGGCCAGTCCAGGTTTCTTGAGTAGGTTGGCGAGGGAGTTACTTTTCTCAAACACAGGCCGAAATCACACCGGTAGGGCTGCCACCACTCCCTTTTGTACAGGGGAACCCAAAGACACCACCCAGGGAGAAGAGTGCGTCCAATTAACCTGGCAATCCCCCTTTCCTCACAAGCTGCATCCACAGGCTTGCAGGCAGAAATTCACTCGGTATAGCGTGACTAAGCAGAAGGCTTGGATTTAGCTATTCCCCCGGAAAAGGCACAAATACCAACAGGTTCTAAATTAAAAGTTTATTTTAAAAGAATAACTGAAAACATGTGGAAAAACCACAGGCACACCTTAGAAGACTTACAAACATGAAAACAATAACGTTATACATTATAACTAGCTGTTACATACCCATAAAGGAACATAGTTAGAATAGTGAGAGTCCTTTCAAGCTGTTGCGTAATGGAGCTGTTTGAAGTTTTCCATTTCAAAAGGACATAACGACGGCTATCGATGGAAGATACAGCCGGGCATCTTTGCGAGTTTGCAGAGCAATGGCAGAGAGCAACGAACAAAACATCCCTTGATCTTTTATCCACAATTCGGACTTTGCGTCGTAACTTTTAGCCAATCAAGAGTCTTAATTTGATCAGCTCATTCTTTTGCAGCTGGGTCAATTTAGGTTTGAACCCTTAATCAAAGAATCTTTCTCCCACCTGTGGAAATTAACCAGATCCCCAATTCTCAGCAATTTGAAAACAAACAACCTCCGGGAAGGCAAAGGTTCACACCCTCCAAACCCAGG